AATTTACAAATTGGCACAGCGTTGTTATTCCAACATGTAGGTATTTTTCTTGAATCAGAACCCTGAAATATTTGGATAATATTCCCTCTGGTGGCCCATACCTCAGTCTGCTGCAGGAAGGAAGGATGAAGAGTTTCTGAAAGGGTCCGTGCCTCAAAGGCAGAAAACTCAACGTCCCTGCACGAATAAACAATAACTGGACTCATCTGATGATTTATGCGTCATCCAGTCACCATTCATGGTTCATGGCAATAATAATGAAATGATACTCTTTCATAATTCATGATAAACTCTTGGGAAACTCTTTACTAAATATTGGAACATGCTTTCAACACTTCAGCTGTTGCATTCTTTCGGGGGAGTGGATGTGGTTTTTGTAAGAAGCTGTTTTTGAAATTTTGCTCCTGCTTTTTAATCTCTCTGTTAAAGCAGAGCTGCAGTGTGTTCCAGATCAGAGCTGCGATCCAACACGTCGAGTTCAACAACAGGCTTGACCCCTAAACACGCTGACGTTGGAGGACAGTAGTTTACTGTTACAGAACGTCCAGCTTGCTGTCAGGGAGAGGTCCCACGCTTCTTCTGAATTCTCGTTTTAATTGTCCCGTGGAATCTGATTGGCTGATGGAGCTTCGATAGAAAAACGTGTGAGAGGAAAACAGATGAAAGTGACATGAAAAGGGAGACTAGTGTGTAATCTGTGTGCTGGTTCCACTTGTGCATTTGAAGTGACTCTGCTTCTGCATCTGTAGAACAGCAGGGGTCAGGATTTCATACGGCAAACACGGTGCCAGGCTGATTTCCCTGCACCAGGATGTTGTGTTGTTTTTTAGTAAACATGTGTTTGTGTTTACTCGTGCAGCCTTGTGCACGTCTCTCTGTGTTCCTGTGTTGCGTTGCTGAGATCTGGTTTTGTTCAAATTATCGTCAATGAAAAAGGTGCCGGCCAAGATCCTGGTATGTTTTGGAAACAAAACAAATATTTCCCACAAGCTAGATCCCATTAATACAAATACAGAAGGAGTCGAGAGGAAGAGGCGTGTGAGAACTGTTAATCGTGTTCATCTATTGCTGCACAGTCTAATTCTGTTGGAATGACGAGTATGCGAGGTCATCTCGTGTTACCCAGGGTGTGTGCAGAGGTGTAGCACAATTTGCTTTAAATAATAACAGTGGCATTCACTCACTCACTCACTCGCTGTAATTATTCTGGTTTCTCCTGTCCTGATGCCCTGTACTTATCTTGCATTTACCTCAGCTTTTGTCAATGATTGCTTTGAACTACAAAAATTGGACCGAAGTCTCAGAAACGAGGCCCATCTGGTCATTTTTGGGCCATTCCCATCTGTACCTGGTCGGCCCAGCCCGGATAGCATAGCTTGCTTGGAAGGTGTGAATTTGCAGTGGGTGTGTTGGCCCTGGTCAGTCTGAAGCAGACCACCTTAGAAAGAGGGCTGAAAAACAGTCTCGTTGCACCCAGAAAAAAGGCAGGCCACCAATATGTAAGAGCAAGCCTCTGATTGGTGGGTAGAATCAGCCCACATGGGCTTAAGGCATGCTTATTTAATTATCATTCATTATCATGCTGATTACCTAGAAGCTGAAAATGTCTCTGACTGCATTCCTTGCATACATAAGCAAGGATGTGTGGAATCAACCGGGCCAGGCTGGGGCCGACTGGAGCTATCCGGGCAGGGCCGACCAGGTACAGATGGGAATGGCCCATTAGATTGACGAAACCTGTTTGACTTGCTTCTTACTTTGTGCCTGAGCGTGTGTATGTGTGTTTTTGTCCATGCCAACCGTCACACACTCTTACAGTAGAATATTTGAATCTTCTCGTTTCTCCTTTGAGGAACACTAATCACTCACCATCTTTCATCCCAGACTTACAACCAATGTGGTGAAATTTTGAAATTGGCTATTTGCCTGATCTCACGCATCTTGTGTGATTAGTTAGCGCATCACATACCAACACATCAAATGGTCGCACAGAATCTGTAAAAACCACTAAGAGCTATTTGTGTGTTTGGTGAAGTACGCTAGCTGTGATGGCCATACTGAAGGATAAAAACATCTTTCTTACCCGTTCCACATATAATTTCTGATCATTTTGTTTTGGTTTGTAAAAATGATCATTGGCTTAAAGCAGGGGTGTCAAACTCATTTTAGCTCAGGGGCCACATTGAGGGAAATCTAGTCCCAAGTGGGCCGGACCGGTAAATTAAAAACAACTTCAGATTGTTTTCTTTGTTTTAATACAATCCATATAAAACAAGGCTGGAGCCTGATGACAGTGTAGTACAAGTACAACACCTGAAGTGTACTTGAAAATTTGAAAAAAATAAAATAAAAAAATCAATAAATAAATAAACATTCCTTAGTGATTCAAAGAGCTTACAGATAACATGGCTAGATCAGTTTCATGCAGCACTTAAAGTATATTTGACTCATTTTACTTAACATCTTTTAGCTTTCACCAGCACATCAATATCAGAAGTCACATCCTGAGTGGCAGCCAACTTCAGGATGTGATTCAAGTTCTTGTGTGGGCCTTGAGTGCAGCTTTGTCTTATTTATACTCATTACAGAGAAAACGTGCTCACAAAGATAAGTTTATTTTAACTCTACATTGTAAAGTATGAAAATAAAGTTTACACAACCATCTCGTGGGCCAGATTTAACCTGCTTGCGGGCCGGATCCTGCCCGCGGGCTGAATATTTGACACCCCTGGCTTAAAGGGATACTAAGCAGTTTTGCTTGCTTTCAGCAACCTCTAGTGTCCGCTATTAATTAGATGTGGTCAAAGCAAAAGTGAAACTCAACGTCTTTTTAACACCTTAATCTAACAGCAGAAATGTCTCATCAGCCTTCATTAGTGTCTACAGGAGTGGTTCATCACTAAATCAAACAAACGTTTATAACATGCTGGAAGCAGACTGCAGTGCCAGATTTGTCAGCTATTTTTTTTCTAAGTCCAACAGATGGCGGCCTGTCACTCTGAAGTTGCAAGTGCCGAATTCTGGCCACAGAGGGTGGTGGGGGTCTGAACACGAACCCTCTGGCGAACTCTGGTGTTCAGAGAAGGTAGCTGCAACAACATGATTAATTTTCCAGCCGTCAGGTGTTAGTTCACTGCTGACAGCCAGCACAATGTCCAGAGACAAATTGTACAGGGTAATGACAAAATTTTACTAATAAGTTTGTTTTACAACAATATTTACTGTTTGAACATCAAATGTGTTCAGAATCAGCTGCTTGGCTTGTCAAGTCCGCCATTTTACACAGTCCCAGCCTCACCTTGCTGAGTGGACCTTTTAGCGCAACGGAACCCAGTGTCGTGCCTGTCAAAATAAAATGTTTATGAACTTTTTTTAAACATAGATTTTAAAGGAAAAACTATACATTCATTCTGCACACCTCTAAAAGCCCAGGGGAGGCATTATTTACAAAAAAATATAAAGCTTTTTATTTAAAATGTTCCATATTCAACCTTTAACTCTATAAAGGGTCATTTTAGCACACAGTAGCTCAAGAAAATGATTTAAAAATATGAAGAAGGTGCAAAGTATCCCTTTAAACAAATGTAGCGAGAGTCATTTCACATTAAAGCAGAAATCTGGAGTTTTTTGTCAGAGAGCATCAAATAAAGTATTGCACCTTTAGCCCCTCTCCCTACTTCTGTGATTACAGCTGGAAGCAACGTATCTCAATCATTAGCATGCACCTTTAGCCGGTCAACAGAGCTAAAACAATTATTATTCTCATTTTATGCTGTTTATTATTTATTTATCAATATATCTTTAGATCTATATCTATGTGATTTACCTCTGTGCTTAAGCAGATGTCTGAGCAGTTCAAATGGCATGGGGCTTTCTGGGATGGGGGGACTGGCCTAACACTTAACATACTGGCTATGTTATATCATAGAAAGGTAAGACGATCACTGTAATGCATTTCTAAATAAATTGTACATAATTCTTGAAAGGGGAAGCCTCCAGTTACTGCTTTAATGTAAAATGGCTTCAAATCGGCGCTAAAATTCACAGAAGGGTTTTGAAGCTTTGCTAAATGCTTCAACATGACCTGTTTGCCTTGTGGTTGCTGGATCTGTACTGTGGCATAATAAAAGTGTACATATCTAAGTAGAAACAATAAGTATGCCTCCACAACAACAAGTTTTGTCCTGCAGAAATATGTGACATTAGTGGTCACATTATTTGTCAAAGAGATAAAGGTGCCCTTTTGTTTTTATATCCTAATAAATATGATTAGATCAAGTAATGCATTTAAAGGATTCTGCCGAACTGGATTGTTTATCTGTGCTGGAATTTGCGGCCTTAGTTTCTACTTGGCTTCACATCTGAAAGAGAAACACTCTAACAAAACAGAGCAAGCTTGGTTTAGGTGTGGCCAAGAGCAGGATTCTTACTCCTGATGAAAACCATCCAGTTTCATAACAAAGCAACAGGCTGATTTAACTGTTTAATTTGTGGATGAACACATGAAGCTTCAGATAAAGTAATAGAATGTTGTCATGTCTTTGCTGAGGCTGCGCGTCATGCATGCAGCACATGTGTTTGCTTACATAACAGCTCTTGGAGTTCCTGCTGCAGTGGTTTGAGATCATGGGAAAAGCATGAGGCTGTGCTGCAGCAGTCCTCAAGATGCTCCATGTGGCTTATGCAGTTTTTAACACGGCTCTTTGATTTTACCAGCAGCTTTTAACAGTGAAGTGAGAAAACTCCCAACTCCACATGGGAGCTCTTCAGGAATACCTGAGGAACTGTTGCCCTGCAGAAACTGTGTAGGAAATGCCTCCAACTTCCTCTGCTACTGTTGTCAACATCCTACCTTTATTCTCCAAACCTCCCCACCCATCGTCACACGCAGCCTGCCTCCCCTCCCCTCCCCTCTCCTCCCCTCCTCACCCAAACCCTGCATTCTTGCCGTTTTCCTCACTGTTCTTGTTATTGTTCTTTTCTTTTTTTTTTCCTTCCAGGCTGTCACTGAGCAAAAATTTGGGAACAACGACTTCCGATCAGCGCTGGAAAATGGAATTCGGTTGTGTGAGTAAGTACTCCGGTTTTCCCTGGCACCTCTTCTAGGCCGCTCATTCATAAGATATCCCTTCACTCTCTCCTCCGCGTCTGCACTCAATCGTAAGTGTTGCTGATGTTTCCCAGGCAGACCCCATGCCAGGTTTGTTTGTTAGCCACACAAGCTGAGCCTGTTTCCAGACAGCCCAACAGGGACTGCTTTTTGTTGTTGTTGGATGTTATCATTATCAGAGTTTCTCTTGTTAGCAAAGTTTGAGCTATTTCAAGAGTTGTCTGCTGCACAGATGTTCTAGATCAGTAGATTGGGAAGATAGCCATCCTTGTTTTAATGAGAAGCCATGTAGTGAATTAAAACCTCCCGTTTTAACCACAGTGAAGTCTCTCAGCGTGCTGTTTCCTTATTTACCCAGTGGCATCAGGAGTTTGGAACATTTTCTTAAGCATCGAATCACAAAATGCCCTCACGAGTTGCAAAATGAGTGGCTTTTCTCGTTTGTTTTCTCATGTTTTTGGGTAAAGTGCCGGATGGATGTAGGGATGTGATGTGCACGTATCAGCAGGAGGCTGTAATTAGCAGCAGAGTCTCCTGAAGCTTTTATCGACATCCATTCAAAGAAGAGGCTCTTGACTTTGCTGATTCGAGCCTGACTCCGTGGGTTTGTCTGATCTCTGAGACCAACACAGTCGCTTTCCTTCGGTGAGCCGCTCATGTTTTCTCAGCATGAGGAAGAGGAAGACCGATGAAAGCACCTTTACCTAGAAATTCTGCCCCATTGTGTTGAGATCTCACTATTTTCTGCTTGGAATGGAAAGTCTAGTGTCGGTCACACACATTACTTCAGCTGTGTGTGTGTGCGTGTGTGTTTGTGTGTGTGTGTGTGTTCTCATCTATTGTTTCACTGTTAAGTGAATAATACGAACCCCAGTGCCCTTCCCTTTCTTTCGCTACATCTATAGTCAGCCTATCCCTTCCTCCTACAGTCTTAACAAATCGTTTCTCCTCATGTTGTTTGGTTTTCTTTAAACAGGTGCTTTAGTTACGCTTTTCTATCACTTTGAATAACAGATGAGTATTTTTCTCTCTCACAATTTCAAAGCCAGCCACATATGTGGTGCTTCGGCTTACTTTATGTATTTAAGAGATTCGACCTGCAGTTGCTGCATTTATTGGCTAAATGGATTTCAAGGACAATGTTCTGATTTGACTGTTGCTGATGATTAGAAAGAGACTCAGAGGTTTGTTTTTCTTTACAGCCTGTAGAACAACTTTTTAGGCTATGAACTGCTGATTAAGAATGGATGATATGGTCTTAGTCATTTATCGTTAAGTCACCTGGGATTTATCATGACAACAATATGATGTCTGGAACAAAAAACATTTTAAATCTTATTTCTGATTACAATCGGTCACTCTGAACATGAAAATTGTCTCCTACACCTATCTCCTTCAATAGCGTCTGATAGAAAGTAGACGGTGAAATTAGAAAATCCTCTCAGATCTACTACATCACACTGTGAGTTAGCATTCATGGACTCTGCAATCTTTACTCACGATGGGGAAGGCTGTTGTTTTAATATCCGGGAACAGCAGTGGACGTCTCTGCTAGTTTAAGCTAACTGTTAGCATTAGCAACTGCACCGCACGGCAGAACTCCTTGAAACTTGTGTTATTTGTGGAGATAAAACATCAGCGTTGCAAGACAGTGGTAGAGTCACACTGCTGTCAACAGGACAGGACGAGATGTCCAAATATCAGCAAATAAGGCTCCAAATCCTGTTGTCTGAAGCTCTGCAGTGATGTGGGCAACATTTAGGTCTGAGAAATGGTGCACCCGTATATTTTTCTCCCTCCTACAATGACTTACAAAGGGTCAATTTCCACTAGAGACCACTGCAAATGTATTAATTCATTCACTGCCATTGATGACAAAAGTCGTCATTTTAAATCCAACCGTTCACCGCCAATCCATTTTTTTACTGTGTGGGCATCAGAACGAGCCCCCGCACTGTGAGAACAAACATCTCAGCTCTAAAGTCGATCTTCATCCGCATACGTCACACGTCACATGATCAGAAAATCCATGTGTTAGGAGATTTTTTGGGCCGCTGCTGTAAAAAAAAGTGAGGCACGAACCGGAAAAGCTTCTGCCGATCACAATTTGACAACGGATCATGAAAGAATGGATAACGCTCGAAACACGCAGATTCTTCCTGATGTAAGAGGTGAGTCTCCGCTTTCTCCATAGCAACTTCAGACCCATCTCTAAACTTCCGTTCATCTCCAAGATCTTGGAAAAGGTTGTGGCTAAACAACTCACAGCTGCTCTTGATGAACATAACATCTATGATAGCTTCCAGTAAGGTTTTCGTAGAGCTCATTCTTCTGAAACAGCTCTTCTTAGGGTCTCTAATGACCTTCTCACTCACAGTGATGAAGGTGACTGTTCTGTTCTGGTCCTGCTGGACCTGACTGCAGCCTTTGACACTGTTGACCATCACCTGCTACTGGAGAGGCTGAGAGACTGGGTAGGCCTATCAGGAACTGATCTGGGGTGGTTCTCCTCTTATCTTTCTGAGCGCTCATTTTCTGTGGCCGTCTCCAAGTTTAGGTCCTCCACCACCTCCCTTACCCATGGTGTCCCACAAGGTTCTGTGCTGGGGCCTCTGCTCTTCCTCCTCTATCTGCTTCCTCTTCAGCACATCCTGAGCTCCTCCCTGCTTAGACTCTATCAAAACCTGGATGGCTGGGAGCTTTCTTCAGCTGAATGAAGAGAAGACTGAGATCTTCATCTGTGCCCCAGACAAGCTGGTTCCCAAAGTCAGAGACTCTCTTGGTCAGCTTGCTTCTCACACCAAACCTTCCGTCAGGAATCTTGGCGTGACCTTTGACCCAGCTCTCACCCTGGATTCTCATGTCAGTTCTCTTGTTCGCTCTTCCTTCTTCCATCTCAGGAACATTGCTAAGCTGAGTCCCATTCTGTCCCGCTCTGAACTTGAGACAGTTGTCCACTCCTTCATCTCCTCACGCTTAGACTATTGTAACTCTCTTTTCACGTGTCTGAGCAGAACCTCCCTGAACCGTCTACAGGTGGTTCAGAATGCCTGTGCTCGGCTTCTGACCAAGTCCTCCAAACACACCCACATCACCCTGCTTCTCCTCCAGCTTCAATGGCTGCCAGTCAACTTCAGGGTTCATTTCAAGATCCTGGTTCTGGTCTATAGGGCCTTACATGGACAAGCACCATCTTACATTGGTGATCTTCTTAGTCCCCACACCCCCAGCAGGTCCCTGAGGTCCAGTGATCAAAGCCTACTGGTTGTGCAGCACCAGGCTAAAGACCAAAGGTGACAGATCATTTGCTGCTGTGGCCCCCAGACTCTGGAACTCTCTCCCCCTGAGCCTGAGATCAGTGGACTCAGTGGTCTCCTTCAAAAAGCAGCTGAAGACTCACTTGTTCAAGCTGGCTATTGTATGACCTTCTTCACCACTCTCTCTTTATTTTGCTCTCCCCACCTATTCCACCTTCCTCAGGATCCATTGATTTCCTTCTTTTGTGTTCACTTTCTCCCTTTAACAATTTTTTAAAAATCACAAATTGCCTATTTTTGCTCATTTTAAATATATGTTTCAACATTTTCTAAATGCTTTTTTATATTTTTACATTTTTTGTTTTTGTGAAGCGCCTCGTGATTTTTATCTTGAGAGGCGCTATAGAAATGACATTTTCTTCTTCTTCTTTGTTTTGGTTGTTTTGGCATCTACATCATCGTAGCGCGCAACGTTCTGTCACTCTTAAAAAACAGTGAAAATGCTGAAAAACGATGGCAGCAAAGGGCTTTTCTTTCAGTGAACGAGTTAAGAGTCAACCACTCCTTTAAAATTCATCATCACCTCTGTGGTTTTAGTGCATGCAGTCATAAACCTCACGAACACAAATATGACTCTGAATACAACAAACAACAACAAACTTATAAAATATTCAAATTTGCTAAATTAATTACTTTTCAGAAGTGAAAGTCAAATCCCACATACTGTATTCACTATACTTGTGGTCCTATTGCCGCTATATTACCCTTTTGTTTTCCATTTAAAAGGAACATCAAGTAGTCTACTTATGAGTTCACTAAAATACAAGCATAAATTATATTTGGAGTTAGACTTGATCATATATTTAACCACCATCAAGATGTATCATTAGCAATAGTGTTGCCCATCTCTGCTCCTGTTTGAACAAAACACTTCAGATGAACTTCCTCCTTTTTCCTCATGTTTTTTGCGCATAATCTCTCCTTCTGATTTCCCTTTCAGACTCCTTTGATTTCCACCCAAAACAATCCATCGGTCTCATCTGTTACTGTTTCCAGGGTTGAAGCGTGGTTGGCCTGGTTTGTTTGAGGTTGTTTCAGTAGTTTAGAGCACGCTTAGCAGAAAGCCCACTTTGTTTACATGGTGTTGCAGTACTGGTGATTTGCTAAACTGAAGCCAGGTGGCCACCATTAAACCAAGTCATAAACGCACAACACCAAGAAGACTTTTCAGCAGGACTCGCTCATTCTTTCACAGTTAGACTAGCAGAGCCACTGGCTGAGAGTTCTCACTTACCCTCTTGTTCGCCCATGATGTTCTCCGTCTCTTTCTTTCCTTTTGCAGACTGATCAACAAGATCAAACCTGGTACCATCAGAAGGGTCAACAGGCTTCCTACACCTATTGCTGGACTGGTAAGTCTGCTTCTTTAGATCATTTAAGAAGAAGAAGAAGAAAATATCATTTCTATTGCGCCTCTCATGATTAGAAATCACGAGGCGCTTCACAAAAACAAAAAATGTACAAATATAAAAAATAATTTACAAAATGATTACAAATATATTTAAAATGAGCAAAAAATAGACAATTGTGATTAAAAAATGTATAGAAAGAGATAGAGTGAATAGGAAAGAGGGAAATCAGTGGATCCTGAGGAAGGTGGAATAGGTGGGGAGAGCAGAACAAGGAGAGGGTGGTGAAGGTCACACCAAAGCCAGCTTGAACAGGCGAGTTTTGAGCTGCTTTTTAAAGGAGTCCACTGATCTCAGGCTCAGGGGGAGAGAGTTCCAGAGTCTGTGGGCCACAGCAGCAAATGATCTGTCACCTTTGGTCTTCAGCCTGGTGTGCTGCACAACCAGTAGGGTTTGGTCACTGGACCTCAGGGACCTGCTGGGGGTGTAGGGCCCTAAATAAGGAGTATTTTCATCCAACACATCAGAGAGAGCTTCTGTTATTCCATATTTTTATGTTTTTATGGTATTGCTTACGCAGATATATGGATGGAGGGATATGGATGGATAGAACTTTATTGTCTGTACCCCAAAGGGTCACAGAAATGTCCCTTTTGACACAGCTCATAATACAAATAAAAACAGACCGTAGAAACAATATACTACAATATAAACCACCTGCACTTTGTTCAGATACTGCTGAGGGTATAAAATATTCCTTGTATACATTCTTCCAGGCCAATGGGGCTTTATACCACCTGCCTTAACGGTTAAGAAGGTATACAATAAGTAATTCAAAGTGAGAACAGATTCAATGAGCGATCTGTAAACCAGCATTAAAATCTAGATTGCTAATGTGAAAGGCTCTGAGTTCCCTTCGTAAATAGAGGCACGGCTGTACTTTCTTGTATACAGCACCTTCACAAACGGGTATCAATTTCTATGCTAGGGTATCTTCAGGTTTGAACCTGCTCCACCAGCTGACCCTCGATACTATAGGTGGCTGGAACAGCAGTGATGGAGCCCATCCTTTGGGCTCTTTAGTTTCTGAGATTTAGCTCATTTTTAGAAAATTTTGTATAGACAGAAAAACAAAGGGGGATAGACCACATCCCTGAGGGAACCGTGCATTGAAGAGATGTGTGAATTTTTACTCTTGAGAATAAGCAGCATAAGGTGCAGCAGCTGAGCTGACTGGTGACAGGTAGCTGCCAGGGAAGAGTTCATCTGGGGACCTTTGCTCGCTTTATATCTGCCCACATCGATACATTTAGTCAGAATCAGAAAGCCTTTAATGCTACTGTTGGTGAGTTCAGTCAGACTAGATGGTGGGTTTGACAAAACGGATCAAAAGAAACAAGAAAAAAGTAGATATAACAATAGTTACATATGAATAAATCCTGGTTGCAGTCATGTGTAAATAGCTTTAAAACAGCAGCAGTAATCTTATTCAGATTATGGTGGATCCGTTACACTGATGATTGAGATTGTTGCCCTCGTGGCCGTTGAGTTTCTTTATTTTTTGTCCTAATTGATGTGGATAAGAAGCTGTCCTTCAGTCTGCTTGTTCTTGATTTTAGGGTTTTCTACCACCTACTGGTGGTGATGGGGTGGGAGGGGTCTTTGATGTTTTTGGCTCTGCTGAGGTAGTGCGAGGTGGGGAGATCTTCCAGGAAGTGCAGAAATCAACCTTTTTGCATGAGTTATCTTCAAAACTTTATTATTTAGAAATGTACGTAATTATAATAGCTTTCAGACTTTTCAATAAAATCTGTCTTTTGGTAAATGAAATAATTTGCTGACAGACGCCAACAGATAATGGTAACGTTTGAAACAAAGGTCCTGTGTGATTGGATAGTTCTCTGAGTGTAAGTTGGTGATGACATTTGGCCATAAACAAACCAAATCTTTTGCTCATATCTGGACAAATAACCCAGCTTTAACCCATTTTTATGTACAAGTGTCAATTAGTTGTTGTGGCCATATTGGATCAAATATCAATCAATCAACCAGTCCAAAAATAACTAATGTCTGTGAGTTGCTAGATCATGATAAAATATTCTAACAGACAGAAACACACCGATTAAGACATTATTGAACAAAATAATTCATTCTGACACAATATTTAGATATTTAGCAAAGAATTATGACACAAATGGGGCTCAGTCTCTTTACTAGGACAGCAGTAGTTCAGGAGGTAGACCAAGTTGTCCAGTAATCGGTTGCAGGTTCGATTCCGACTCTAACCAGAGATTGCTGCTGTTGTGTCTTTGGGCAAGACTCTTAGCTCACTTTGCCTGCTGGTGGTGGTCAGTGTGCCCCAGGGCAGCTGTGGCTACATCGCAGCTCATTACTACCAGCGTGTGAATGTGTGGATGACTGATTGTCTTGTAAAGCGCCTTGGGGGGTTGTAGAAGCCTAAGAAGGCTCTCTACAAAAACAGGTCATTTACCATTTACATCTTTAGACCTGGCACTTTCTCTAAATTTGAGGCTTTGGGCCACCATGACTCTCTGGAGGTAGATGTTTTGGGAGTGTCTGCAAACAAGTTCTTGGGAAGTAGAGGTTAGAAAACCTACCTATCACCCATCCCTCACAAAGCTCTCTTGTGGGAGTAATTGAGTCAAGCTGTAGGGGGAATTATAGACAACTCTGAACCAAACAGTCTGGCTTTGTGTGTGTGCGTGCGCGCGTGTGCGCGTGCGCACACACATTGGTAAGCACTAGGGGTTGTATCGACTAGTCGACTTCACTGTTCTGTAGTGACTTTTTATGCTTTTCATAGACTAGTCGCTGTCACGTGATAATGACCGACAAGATGCAGTCCTCGGAAAAGACCAGGTGCAACGCGCTGTGCCGTCGGTATCTGACGCCCGCCGTAAAATGGACATTTGACGGAATTGTGACCTTTACGCTCTTGCAAATTAACCTTCCCATCACCCCATCCTAACCTTAACCAGCGTGCACATGCAAAGTTCTGATCAATGACCAGCTCCAGACATCTGCGTCCTGAGCACGGCCACAGTAACATTATCAAATTAGGTGTTGCCTCCTCAAAAACAAATTTAACATGCGATCGTTCATGTCGGCTCGTATCCTTTTGTGTTTTCTGTCTTTTATTTGTGCCTGATGCGTTTCACTGCTGTGGAGCAGAGCACATCACCTGTTTTGTCCTCCGGTGACGCACCACACCGGTGCGGCTGGTGCATACTCCGTTGTTTTTGCAGTTGGCAGATCTTTTAGAACTGCAGTTCAAAGGTAACTCATAAGGTGAATATATATGAACCCAGGTAGCAGTTTTTCTTTAGGAGTGAGAGGAGATGCAGGAAGATAATAAACAGACAGGACAGAAAAATAGTCAGATAAAAACAAGTTAGTTTTTGTACCTGCTGGTTGCAACAAACAGACACCATTGAAGTTAATCAGAAGTGAGGAACAGAAAATAAAATAATTATTTTAATGTTTAGAGCAGCAGGATCTCTGAGAGGCTGCAGGCGCATCAGTGAGTTTGCGGCCGCTGCGCAGGGGGAGGGGGGGAGAGGGCTGAAGCAGAAACTACCGTTGTTAAAAGAAATGTGTTTAACTTTGAAAATGTGGGCGATATTTTAATTGTCAAAAACTCCAGCGAACCAACCGACCCCCCCCCCCCCCCACACACACACACACACACACCCCACCCGCCGCTTCAGGTGTATGATGTCATCAACGGCAAGTCGAAGTCGACTCGATTTTCATTACTTGACTGTCAACTTTAAAAAAAATTAAGTCATGCAACCCCTACTATAAACAGGCCATGCCGTCACATCTGTATCATGACAAATCGAATTTCCTGCCATCTGCTTGGCGTTCGAGTAACGGGCAAGCACCTGCTGTGGTCATGGATATTACCCTCATCAGAAGCGCTTGTGTGGTATTTTCGAGACTTGGACACAGACCTGAAACCACCTGATCATAAACGCTCCTGCCAATGTGAAGGCTTCTGGTTGGCCCGGGGCGATCGGGTACTGCCGACCACATGGTGTGAGGCGGAAAGTTCTCCCAGCAAGCATTACTCACTCTGCTGTGAGAAAGGCTTCCCTCCCAAACAAGTCAAACAAACCAGTCTCCCTTCTCTATAAACCTCCATGAATGTATTCCATAAGGACGTGTTTGAAGTTTAGCCATGTTTTATTGCTTATTAGGGTCTTCCTGTGTTGGAGGCCAGTAAGAGTTGTGGGAGAAAATGGAAAATGTTCCGTCTCTGTTGGTAAATCCAGAAAAAGCAGGAAACATTAGAGCCTCATGTCGCTGCTGCTGTCAGTTTGTGATCTCTGCTGAATGAAAGGCTCTTTGCAGTAAAGCCTCAATAAATCTCACATCTAAACATTTTCTGCCTCTGTTGTTGTTCTAGTTGAGCCGTCTGAAGGATTCTAAATGCTCCAAATTGATACCAGCTTCTAGCTTTGGCAGAGTGAAAACCCTGCAGAGGGATGTGAATATTTAGCAGCACCGGCTCCTGACTTGGGTCTACTCTTTGGTTTCATTTGGTCCAAGGAAACGTTTTCTCGTGTCAGCACACTCCTGTGCCTGTATGCAGAGCACTCTTTGTGCGAGCTGTGGGTTTGGATCGGGGCAGCCTATTTGGGAGCCTGGTTCTCCTTTTAGCGGTGCTGGGCAGGTCCAGCCTCCATTGGCCTCTGCCCATCATAAACACACAGTAATTGGTATGGTTGCAGCACGTTCCAGTACCAGGGGGAGGAGACAAACGGGCAGTTTCAGAGCCCCTAAGGGTGTCTTTACTCATCAAAATGTCTGTGTAATCATCTGAGCAACGACAGGCATTCGACCATGTCTTGTTACTCTGTTTATGTTGTTTGGGTGCGTGTTATGACTGGATACGACATTTGGAACACTAAGGCCCTTTTATCCGGCCTGTTTGAGGACAGGCACCATTTCAAATATTCCATTTTGTTTTGGTCTTATTGTCAGGCAATTTGAAATGGATTCCGACATTTTAATAACCCTCCCACTGTCTTTATGGGTGTGACCCCGCGAGGAAAGTTGACCATTGAGCAGGATTGATGGTTTGTCCCTTGAGGTCCATGTGGCAGGGGTGAGGTGGTGCTCACTCCTCACCCCTGCCACATGGACCCAAGGGATAAACCATCAATCCTGCTCAGTGGTCAACTTTCCTGGCGGGGTCACACCCATTAGGACAGTGGGAGGGTTAATTTGCAGCTTTTTCATTTTTTAAATCCTTTTCTTGAGCCAGTGTGTGCTGAAATGACCCCTATCGCCTTCTATGGCCAGAATACAGCATTTGCAACTTCAGAGTGCCGGTCCGGTCTAGTGAATGTAAAAGTGAGCTGACATACCTGGTGCTGCAGCACGTTTCCTGCATGTTTTAGATTATGAACACAGCAGATTTGTTAAGTTTAGTGATGAATCACTCCTGTAGACACTAATGAATCCTGGGGAGACATTTTAGCAGTTAGATTAAGGTGTTAAAAAGACAAACGCACAGCGAGGAGATAAGTTTTGCTTTCAGTTCTACTAAACTGATGCTAGGGGGTGCTAAAAGCAAGCGAAAACTGCATAGCCTCCCTTTGCCTGCTAAGTTGAACATATTTAAGGAAATGTGACATCAGTTCAAACTTAAAACAATTTTATTTTACCTCAAACATAATAAGAGGAAAATCTTTCTGTTTCTTGGTGTGAAGTGATTAAGTCAGGGTCCATAAGTCTGCAGGAGGGGATTAGGTGTTGGATGGGTGCAGCATATTTAGCAGGATTATGTTCAAGCACGAGTCAGCATTACATTCCTTTAACATTATTATCTCGGCGTGCGGTGGGACTGACTGTAAGAAAGATCTTTAATTCTCTTTATATGTAACTGTTATTCTGGTTTAATGCTTTAATTCTCTTTATGAGCGTCTCCTGGATGCCCAGCCCCAACCTGGGAGGTCCTTTTGGAACAAAATATTAACAAACATATGAATAAGTGGTTTGTAAAGCATGTGTAAGATTTAAAAGAATTGGATTAGGTCCTTAAATTCAAATTATTAAAAAAAAAAAAGGAATTGTGCCATTTGTTTTTATTAATGTTTAATGCCACCAATGCATTTTTTAAAAAGTTGTCCTAGCCTCATTGGCTAGATGTTAATAAACAGGAACCCCACTAATCCACCATCAGTAAACACAACAGTGTGTCCACAAATACCAATAAAGACTCGAAAGGTTGCCTTCTGTCCTTTGAACTAAATTATGTCTTTTTAAGGTGCACTATGGGGACGTGGATGTAACATTGCATTAATGCACTAAATGCACTTTTCCCCATCTTAGCAGCTTCCTAATCTGCAGTATAGACGACTAGCACAATCTGTTGTTTGTTTCAACAAGATAATCCCAATTTCTATTCAACCCATGTTGCAAATGGGTGACTGATATGTTGACCAATTATTTTTAAACTGGATTATAAGTGTTCCTTTGGGAATTTCTAAACACTATTTTTTAGCTTAGCTAGTAGCTCATCAGTACCATTCAGTATAAACTCTATTTCTCTAAACGGAGTCTGTTCCAGAAGCAATCTACATCTATGAGGAAGACGTTAAAACAACAATGACCAGGTGTTACCAGAACTGAAACACATTTTTAATGTTTGTCATTTTTTAAAATATGACAAAAGCTTCAGATCGCTGACCAGCTTAAATCCTTCTCACTGTAGCTCCAAACTAAAATGTAGCTTTTAAAATTAGAGATACACATCTCAGATTTCATCAAACAAACACATGCGCGCGCGCACACACACACACGCACACGCGCACACGCACACGCACACACACACACACACACACACACACACACACACACACACACAGGTTCGTATTTCCACCTCTATTAGGACCTTGTATTGACTTCCATTCATTTTAGTAACTGCATTTATGCCTAACCTTAACCTTTACCAGTGTAATCTTAAACATAACTGTAACAAAAACGTCATTCACACATTACCGCCAAATCTAGCCCCAAAGCCTATAAAAAGGTGATCTGCCATATTAGGACCAGGCTTTGGTCCTCTCAAGGCTCACTGGTCTCCAGAAGGTTGGTGAATATGCCAGAAAAGGTCCCAAATAGAATAGTTAAACAAGTACACACACACACTGATCTTCATGACATTTTATTAGGAGACTGGATGGAATAATCCTCACAAACATTTGTATTCCTGCAAGTCTCTTCTTCTCTCTGCACAGACACTAAGAAATGTAAAACATATTTTCATGATATTATCTCAAGATAAGGAAATTATCTCCTTATTGCTAAACGCCGGCACACACATTGGTTAATTTGCGATATCACAAGAAGGCAAAGCGGGTTTTCTAACAAGGAATTGTTTATGAGTAGATTTATTTTCTGATAACTAGAAGTGATTTCTAAATCACAAAACAGAAGGGTTACTTCTTTATCGGAGGTCATGTTTCCTACTGAAGACGTCACGCTGAGGAACCTTCAGCAAACACACGCAACACTTGATACTAAATGATGGGATTAGTTGTAACACAGCATTCATTCATTTTCACACCCTGCTTTACCTGTTATGAAAGCAACGCAAATCTTATCTTGATAGGTTGTCATTCTCAAGAAAATAAGACTAGTTTCAATCCAGCATTGTTGAAACAATCGACTAATGATCTGGGGGGGGGGATTTAATCAAAATGGGAACAGGCCTGCAGGTTGTCTGGTTCTCTGTTAGGTTAAGACCATCGATATCTCCTTAAACACATTTTATATTGATTGTTTATTTGCAGTGAACTTAATTTCAATAGAAATGACTGATATTTCAGGCCTTTAACAATAAAAATTGGATCAGACAACTTGAAGGAGGGTGGTCATGTTGTACTTCCTTGGTAATCGGGCTGTGGTTAGAACAGTTAGGCGAAGTATCTTGTGCTGTATTTGTGCACATGGTGTGTCCTAACTCGAGTTGTGTTATTAGTATAGATGATTAATTAAAATTAGCATGTGTGCATTTATCTTATCTGAATCAGTCCCTGCAGATGCAAAAATCGGACATTTTTACCAGTTATTCCACAAAAAAAGAGCAAATGCACGGGGAGTGATGCTAATAGTTGCACATAAGTGGTGGTAGGGTCTGATCCATGGCAGTGTTGAGAGGTCAGCTCCCTCTTTTTGCTAATAAGCATGTGTGTCATACAAATATAGAACCAGCTACCACTTAATTATTGCAGCACATGGTGAAACCATGTGCAGTCCCAATGCAAAGTGCAGATTTACTCCTACTGGAGAAATCATAACACTGAAAAGAAATGATACTTTTGTGGTTGATTGGTTTTTATCGTGCGTCCATTTCTAGAGCAACGTGCACACACGCATGTCCGGTGCGGCTCGCGCTCACAAACACAAGCTTTACGCATGATTCATGCGGCGTAGGAAGAAAAGCTGTCCCTCCACTCCCAAGTTCTCCAACAGCTTCGGGGAAATATTTGTTAGTTTGTGTCACCTGACCTCATGTTTCATAGCAACTAAACGTGTCCAAAATACTCTGCCGCCCCTCAGATTCCACAGGTATTCTCTAGTGAAGGGCTTGGCTGGGTAGGAGGAGGCAGTTTCAGGGTGTGAGAAGGAGAAGGCAGGCAGGCAGGCGGTGTGCTGTTGGGCTGCTGTGTGCGTCACTCCTGCACTTGCACGGCCGGTTGGGTGGGACTTGTCCACAGCTCTGATGTCATTCTTCCTGTTTTGGTTTTGTCTCCACCCCAACCCAGCCCACAGGTGGCTCTCCTTCTGTCACTCAGCTCCTGTCAGACAGTCCTCCCTCCTTTCCTCCCCCTCTGTTTCACATGTGTCACTTCTTATTTGCCACACACATGCTCCTCCCTGTCCGTCCTGTTCCCTGGTGACATGAACTTTGAAAGCAGTCAGTTGTAAGCTTTTCCCAGTCAGAGTTTCCGAGTGATTATTCTTTGCCTCTGAAAGGTGGCCAGCCATCATCCCTGCTTTGTTCTCTGTGCAGGATAACCTAAACGTCTTCCTCAAAGCCTGCGGGAAGCTCGGACTAAAAGAGGCTCAGCTCTTTCACCCAGGAGATCTTCAAGACTTGTCCACAAGAGTAACGGTCAAGTAAGTTTTAACGCTGTGATCCCTGTAAAAAGTCAGCAGGATAACCTTGACACCCTTCCTTCTTACATGCAGACCTGAGGTCCTCTTTATGAGATAAAATCAAAGTAAAGGGACTAAAACGTCATAAAACTTCTACATACAGTGTTATGGAGTGCATGTGTTCTCATGTGAGATGTGATTCAGGCTTTATTTATTAAAGGTCAGGGCTATTTTCAGTGTGCATGCCCTCCTCTCTTCGTGTCAGTGTGCAGAGGACAATGTGTTACTTTGAAATATAACGAGTAAGTAGGTGGTAGTAAAAGATGAACCCTTATGCGTGCAAGTTATTAGTTTTGCAGAACCAAATGTGTGATGTTGGAGTAAACAGAATGCCTGCCTGAGTCAATAATGATACTCGCATTTCAGTCTGTTTTTGTTTCAGTTGCATACCAGTCAGAGGCATGTTGAACAACCTGTTTAGTTTTCTACCCATTTGCATTCTGCCGCTTTTTGCTGTGCAGAATTACGAAAACGGATTTAAGTATTGCTTGATAAATTCTATTAGATGTAAATGAACCAGGCATAACGGATGTGGTCAGAGTATGACGCTTTTACACGTTCCTTTAGCTAAACATGATCACATTTAGTTCCTGCCAAATCTTCGGTATTCCTTTGTGTTGTTAACACAACTTCTCTGCATTTTTCCCACGATCCACCCTACCGTCAGTCACTCTTCGCCAGCTCTGATAATAGTGCCGAAACCAGATTTGTCACAAACTGCTCAAGATGAACTGTATGTAGACTGGAATACGGCCTCTGAATAAACAAATCTGCCTGCCTTTTATCAGGACGCACCCTCATCCCACATCTGCCTTCAGATATCTGTCACTAAATGTCTCGTTCAGGCCAATAAACGTAAAGATAATCCCTTTTGATGGACTGTGTGTTTGCAGACGCTTCCTCTCGTGTCGAACCTGTTCTCAGGATATTGGTTGTAAATGATGACAGTTAGGGTAGAAAAGTGTATTTATTTATTTTCACCTGAAACTCAGTCATATATTACCAGCTGGACGGGTAACATGCAAACATGTATTTTGAATATGGCTGCAGGGCTGCCACCAGGTTCATCTACATTTGGGGGTTGGTCAGTGAGGCCCTATTTTTAGCATCTGGAGTCACTTCCACAAGCTGGACTGATTGGAATGGTATTAGAGTCCTCTCAGGAGTTCTTCTCCTTATGGAGTACACCTTAAAGTTGGATTTGAATTTGGAATATGTTCATTGTTCTCGCTGGATGCTGATATTCTTGGTCTTTGTTGCAGCCCAGCTTCAGTTTTTGTCACTAAAACAGTTCACACGCAGAGTTGCATGGATATAAAACCCCAAGCAAGGTCGTCGACTTGCAGCTTTATAGCAGTGGAGCTTATCAGGAGCCCAGGCAAATGAGGTCTGAAAGAGAGAAAGTTGTCTATCAGCTGGTGTTTACTTGAACCCAGTCCGACAGGTGCTTCGCTCTGCTCCACTGTTCTGTTTCTACCGCGGTGTGGGTGTTTTTCTGTTTGATCTTCACTTTGCTTTGTGTAAAGAACGTGTTTAAGGCTGCCGCCTGTCTTTAAGCTTTTAACCTTTGCTGTCATCTCAGTTTGTCTTGTACACAGTCTTTCACTTTCTGAGGGCATCACTTTTCCCAGCATTCCTTTCTTTTCTGGAACAACAGCTGAAAACAGAAACGTCACGAAAGGTTGAATCTTTAGGTTGGTTCATGAGGTAGCAGAAAAACTGACATCCTTTGATGATCCAATCTTTGGGTTAATTTCTTGGCAAAAACAGCTGGAAGACCTCATCTGTTTTCATTGTTCCAGGGTCAAGATGTGGACAAAACGTTAAAGGCTTTCAGATGTCATGTGTGGAGTACTTCTGTTCTCTGGCTTCTCATTGACCAAACAACGTCTCAGCTAAAGAATGGGATAACATATTAAATTTTGGGTCTACAAACCAATCCATGAGTATTCCAGGGAAACTCTAATCGTTTTTTAACTCCTTGGTCATGTGTTCCTTAAATCGAATGTTTTGCGATCTGAATCTTGAGTCAGATGTTCACTGAGCATGTGCTCAGAGCACAGTTCAGTTCACGCTGAAATGTTACGACGACCATAAATGCTTATTGAGTGTCCGTGCCTGACCTTTGAGACGGGGAAGGTGTTGTCGTTTTGCCCTAGCCACCGCTTACGGTGCTATGTTGCCTCTTATTGTGAAACATCTGCTCTGATAAGGCTTTATCGCCCTTGAACTTATTCAGTATCAAAGTTGTAATAAAGCACATCTATGGTGATAAAAATGGGTGGACCACAGAGTGAAACATTACCATGAGCAGCAAATCGTTTCCACCTTTGGTAAAAATGCTAACCACACTGGATATTTCATAGGAAACGATGATCCACAGCTATTTGGAACAGCCCCAGCCAGTTTCTAACAGCTGCCCGTGCAAGCGACGGTTCAGTTGAATGAGATGAGTCAATATAAATATTCAATCACTTCCTTTAGACCCATATATGTGTAATGAATGTTCACCTACAGGATCTACATGTCAAACTTGTCTTAAGTTTTTTTGTTCTAAAAGTTGGCTGGTTCTTTAAACTCCGATATCGTATGAGTCACAGTTGCTTCATAAAAAGCTTTTAAACTGAAGCTACTGAGGATTTCTGTTGCTCAGCTTATTTTATGTTTATTTATTTGGCAGACGCTTTTATCCAAAGCGACTTACAGTTGTGATTCGTGGGGGAAACCGGAGTACCCGGAGGAAACCCATGCATGCATGGGGAGAACACGCAACTCCACGCAGAAAGGCCGCAGCCTTCGTGCTGCGAGGCAACAGTGCTAACAACTGCGCCACCATGCAGCCACAATAGCTCATTTTATCACCGTGCTGTAAGTCAGAGATCTGCACCTTCTCCCACGAGGTAATAAAGGCCTTGTTCTTGGAAATTTACGTAGCTCTGAACATTGGAGGAATATTACTGAGGGGATTTGGTAACGCGAGTTAACGGCATCTCCTTTCAACTCAACTATTTTATAGAAGTTCAAACGTTTCGTTTCGCTTTCAGCTCAGTCATGACATCATTTTTATTAAAGTCTGTTTCTTTTGAAATCTTAAACAGCAGTCGAGCTAACCTCATCATTACCTAATTAAAATAATGGTAATTACTAGGATATACAAGTTTGCTTTGCCCTTACGAATAATGTTTTCCACTAAAGGCAAAATAATCAGTTAAAGGAGAAAATCTGACAACAAAAGTGTTTTCATGAGATAAAACTTCCTTACGACTCTTCTAAATAACAAAGGCTGCAATCAGAGCAGACTTGGCCTTCAACGTGTCACACTCTGATTCATGAGCATCTGACATTTGATTATCCTTAGATTGCAATTTTAATTGTGTTCTATGATGATGCTAATTACCGTTAGCAATGCAAGCTAATGCCAGCGTACTTCAAGGGATTAACTGGATTTAAACACTGTAGCAATGTGTTGGAACTGAATCTCTGAGACCCCACAGCTTGTACAAGGCAGCCATGTTGGATTTGAAGGTCAGAGTTGGTTGGAAATTTTCTGTCAGAATTCAGACTTCTGTGGCACACTTGAATGGAAAATAGTGACAGAATAAATTTAGTGGTTTTTAAAAACGCGGTTGCAAGGTAAATCATTCTTTGGCTTTCTAAACGTGTGCTTGGTGATGATTTTTAACCAGCATCCTGGTCAGAAATAGGTTATTGAAAGTGGGATGAAAATATGGACAGATAAGGCCGTATCATAACCTTTGTAGCACTTTTGTCATGCGGTGTGACATCCCGCAGCTTTATAACCAAAATAATTATATTGTAATTCTACCTGACCAATTCTAACACTGAGTTGTACTTGCATTGAATCTAGAAATGGCATGCATCCACCTTGACTGTGTTCCAATTCAAAGTTGGAAAATGGTGCTCAGCGATCAGGCTAACCACTTTAAATAATTCAAGCAGGTAACGGGGTATTCCCCTGTGTTTTATTCACTCAGTTAAACTAGCTACATGTTCACTGAAAGAGCTCATACAAAATTACGTATTGGTGATTTTGTAGATTAGAATTAGAAGTGGATGAAAAGATTTGCACATATTGATGTGCAGCCATATTGGATTTTGGTGAGAAATGGATGACTTTTGGAGTACAAACAGGGAAGAGTTCAGTTTGTTCCTTGAAAACAACAACAGTTGCGTGTTAGTGTGAACTAAGATAAGTTTTATCTTATTCGACCCAAAACAAAAACACATAATGAAGGTTTAACTGTTTCACTGACCCATAATTCCCTAAATCAGTCATGGACTAACTTAGTTTGTCAAACTATTGGTTGTTACAGACTTATGTTATTTTTATATACTTCTGCAACAGCTCTACTTTTATGAAGTCTATTTATGATGTTTATAATCAAATATTTCTTTTTTTTATTTTAAGTAGATTAAAGATTAAATTCCCATTAGTTGTCACACACTGGTGAAATTTTTTCTTCACATTTGACCAGTCCCCTTGGTGAGCGGTGAGCTGCAGACACGGCGGCGCTCGGGAACCGTTTGGTGGTTTAACCTCCCAATCCAACATCTTAATGCTGAGTGTCAAGCAGGGAGACACTGGGTCCCATTGTAATGTCATTGGTATGGATTTGAACCCACAATGTCCTAGTCTCAAGATGGACACTCCACCACTAGGCCATTAGTGTTTATCAGCATAACAATCTGAAATGGGCCCATGGGGCTGCATGGTGGCGCAGTGGTTAGCACTGTTGCCTCGCAGCACGAAGGTTGCAGGTTCGAAACTCGGCTGCTGTCTTTCTGCGTGGAGTTTTGTGTTCTCCCCATGCATGCGTGGTTTCCTCCGGGTACTCCGGTTTCCCCCACAGAACACAACATGCCCTATAGGTTATAAATTGTAAGTCGCTTTGGATAAAAGCATCTGCTAAATAAATAAACATAAACAAACACAAATGTTT